TTTTTTTTACATCATGAGGGGAATTCTTTTCTATCATGAGGGGAAATTTTCTCCATCATGAGGGGAAGTTTTCTCCATCATGAGGGGAAGTTTTCTCCATCATGAGGGGAAGGGGTTATCAATGGAGGAACACCAAAGTTAGTGAAATGAGGGTTCTCTATTTTTTTTTTTTACATCATGAGGGGAATTTTTCTATCATGAGGGGAAATTTTCTCCATCATGAGGGGAAGTTTTCTATCATGAGGGGAAATTTTCTCCATCATGAGGGGAAGTTTTCTCCATCATGAGGGGAAGGGGTTATCAATGGAGGAACACCAAAGCTAGTGAAATGAGGGGTTCTCTATTTTTTTTTTTTTTTTACATCATGAGGGGAATTCTTTTTCTATCATGAGGGGAATTTTCTCCATCATGAGGGGAAGTTTTCTCCATCATGAGGGGAAGTTTTCTCATCATGAGGGGAAGGGGTTATCAATGGAGGAACACCAAAGTTAGTGAAATGAGGGGTTCTCTATTTTTTTTTTTTTACATCATGAGGGGAATTCTTTTCTATCATGAGGGGAAATTTTCTCCATCATGAGGGGAAGTTTTCTCCATCATGAGGGGAAGTTTTCTCCATCATGAGGGGAAGGGGTTATCAATGGAGGAACACCAAATTTAGTGAAATGAGGGGTTCTCTATTTTTTTTTACATCATGAGGGGAATTTTTCTATCATGAGGGGAAATTTTCTCCGAGGGGAAGTTTTTTTCTCTCCATGAGGGGAATTTCTCCATGAGGGGAAGGGGTTATCAATGGAGGAACAGCATATGTAGGAAGCGACACGTGATTCACACTCAGGCTCTATCGCTCCCTCATTAATCTAGCATGACGTCTGGTGCACATGCAGGCGCGCTAAATGGGTATAGAGATTAACTCAACTTTCTCTGTCTGTTTGTCTGTCTTTCTGTTTTTCTCTGGCTTTCTGTCCCTCCTCTCTCTTTTCTCTTTCTCTCTCTTCTCTTCCTCTCTCTCTTTCTCTGTTTGTCTGTCTTTCTGGTTTTTCTCTGGCTTTCTGTCCCTCGCGCTCTTTTTCCTTCTCTCTTTCTCTCTCTCTCTCTCTCTTTCTTTCTCTTTCTTTCTCTGTCTGTTTCTGTCTGTCTGTCTGTCTGTCTCTGTCTCTGTCTCTCTCTCTCTCTCTCTCTCTCTCTCTCTCTCTCTCTCTCTCTCTCTCTCTCTCTCTCTCTCTCTCTCTCTCTCTCTCTCTCTCTCTCTCTTTCACGCTTTTTTCTTTCTGTCTCTTTCTCTCTTTTTTTCTGTCTCTCTATTCATCTATTCATTGGTAGAATAAACACATTAATAAGCACACCGAAGAAAAAAGAAGAAATAACAAGAAGGAAAGAGAGGAAGAGAAAGAGGAGGAGAAGGAGACGAAGACGAAGAAGACAAAAAGAAGAAGCAGCAATAAGAAGACAAAAATAGAATGATGGAAATGAGCGAATAAAACTAATAATGATAAAAAGACGGAGAAATAAAAAGTAAATAGACTACAAACAACATCAAGAAAAAGAAAGAAAGAAGAAGGATATTAACAGCCACAAGAAAGAAAAAAAAGAGGAACATGAAGAAAGGAGAAAGAAGAAGAAGAAAGAATACGGTGAAAAAGAAATAAAAGAAGAACAACAAAAGTAACAAGAAAGAAGACGAAGGAGAAGAAGAAGAAAGAACAAGAAGACAGGAGAAAGAAGAAGACGAAGAGAAAGAAGAAAAAGAAAGAACAAAAAGACAGGAGAAAGGAGAAGACAAGGAAAGATTAAATAAAAAGAACAAGAAGACAGGAGAAAGAAGAAGACGAAGAAGAAGAAAGAACAAGAAGACAGGAGAAAGAAGACGAAGACGAAGAAGAAGAAAGAACAAAAATACAGGAGAAAGGGGAAGAAAATCAAGAATACAGGAGAAAGACGAAGAAGAAGAAGAAAGAACGCGAAGGCAGGCGAAAGAAGAAGAAGAAAGAACAAGAATATAAGAAAAAGAAGAAGACGAAGAAAAAAACAAGAAGACAGGATAAAGAACAAGAAGACGAAGAAGAAGAAGGCAGGCGAAAGAAGAAGAAGAAGTAGAAAGAACAAGAATACAGGAGAAAGAAGACGAAGACGAAGAAGAAGAAAGAAGAATAAAGAAAACGCGAAGGCAGGCGAAAGAGGTTTCCCCCCGACGGCTCGGATCCCGAAATATGCGGTGACATCAGCCGGCGGCCACAGCGCCCCTTTTCCACCTCCTTCCTGACGTCACGCGGACTCTCAGATCACATTCCGCGACACTCGAGACTTCAGGCCAGGAGGGACTTCAGGCGAGGAGGGACTTCCAGGAGGGACTTGGACTTCAGGCGAGGAGGGACTTCAGGCGAGGAGGGACTTGGACTTCAGGCGAGGAGGGACTTCAGGCCAGGAGGGACTTGGACTTCAGAGGGGTTAGGGAGGGAGGACTTCAGGCGAGGAGGGACTTGGACTTCAGAGGGGTAGGGAG